GTCCTCGGGATCTCGTGACAGGAGGTCCGGTAACTGGTTGAGCTTCCCTGGACAGTGCTCCACCTTGAATTTGAATTCTTGTAACAGTAGTGCCCATCTCGTTAACTTGGCGTTTGAGCTTTTGGCGGTGTTCAGCCAGAGGAGTGCCTTGTTGTCTGTTCTCAGGGTAAATTCTTTGTCTTCTAGGTAGGCCCGGTATCGTCGTACCGCCCAGACGATGGCTAAACACTCCTGTTCGTTGACGTGGTATCGTCTCTGCGTGGGGTTTAACTTGGCGGTGGCGTACGATATTACCTGTTTGCGGCCGTCTTCTTCTTGATACAGCACTCCGTTTGTAAATAAAAACGCTTCGTCACGTCTGGTCGATGGAGTTGCAACGGACGGCTCATAGCTTGTTTCAGAGCGTCGAATGCGAGTTCCGCATTTTCATTCCAGCGGAATTTCGTCTTCGTATTCAAGAGTTCGGTGAGGGGTGCTGTGATTTCGGCAAATCGGGGAACATACTCACGCACCCAGTTGGCGAGGCCGAGGAAGCCTTGCAGCTGTTTTCGTGTGGTGGGTGTCGGGGCGTCCTTGACTTGCTGGAGATGGTGCTCTTGGGGTTTGTTGCCCTGAGACCCGACGACGTGTCCTAGGTAGGGTAGCTCGGTGACGCCGAACTTACATTTTTCCGCTGCACATCTTAAGCCGTACTCTTGTAGCCGCTCGAATACTTGCCGCAGGTGCCCCAGGTGTTCTTGGTGGTCCTTGGAGAAGATGATGATGTCGTCGAGGTAGACGTGCGTGAATTTCCCCAAGTAGCCTGCTAGTACTCGTGTCATGAGCTTCTGGAAGGTGGCTGGTGCATTCTTTAAGCCGAACGGCATGACCCTGTACTGGTAGGTGGCTCCGTCGGGTGTGGCGAACGTGGTTAGTGGCTTGGAGTCTTCGTCGAGCGGAATTTGCCAGTAACCGGATTTCAGGTCGATGGCCGAAAACACTCTTGCCGCACCAAAATCGCGTAGTGTCTTGAATTTTCGGTAACGGCGCGGCCTCGTCTTTGGTTAGCGCGTTCAGACGTCGATAGTCTGTGCAGAACCGAACTGAACCGTTCTTTTTGGCAACGAGCACTGCCGGGGAACAATAGTCACTCACCGAGGGTTCAATTACTCCGTCGGTCAGCATTTCGTGCACACACTTGTCTAACTGTTGTCTTTTCTGGTCACTCATCGGGTACGGTCGGAGGCGAAATGGTTCGTCCTTCTCCAACCGTATAACATGTTGCACTGCCCGCACTGCACCCACACAGCCACTGTGGTCCGTGATCACACTAAAGTCTTGGATCGCGTACATGAACTTGGTCTTCAAGTCTTCGGGGAAGCCATGTTGGACCTGGGGGAGGTGCATCCCCGGCGGTGGTGGTTGTTGGTCCGACCAGAAGGTGGTAGCTCGGTGGTCGATGCCGTGGTATATGCAGCGGAGCCCGTAGTCGAGCGTGACTCGAGCCCGTTGAAGCCATGGGTCGCCGAGGATGACATCGTCGGCGAGGTCGTCGATCACCATAAACTCCTCGTCGTATTCTAGGTGGCTAATGTTAAGGTGCAAGTGTGTCATACCTGGTGATGTGGTGGTCACCCCCTTGCTGGCCAGTTGCACGGTGGTGGTGTGTCCGTGGTGTGGTCGAGCGATGCGGCCGCTGACGAAGTTGGCCGAGGCTCTGGTGTCGAGCACGACCTTCCTTGTCTCGCCGTCCACGAGGGCGGTGACCTGGGGGAGTGGCTTGTTGTGGTGTTTTAAGCCGAAGCATCGGGCCGCGGTGGAGACGTTTCCACAGCCCGGCGCCAGTTTTCCGCCGGCTTCTTCTTTTCGCTGCCAGCGGCGAGATTCAACACTTCTTGTGCTGTTTGCCTGAAGTGGTCCACGCTGTCATACCGTCCTACGGCTAGGGTGGTCCTGATGTGGGCCGGCATCTGCTTGATCAGTTCCTTTATGAGTTGCTTTTCGGAGCCTCCGGGGAAGAGGCGGTGGTGGAGTCGCTGTTGTTTGCTGACGTAGACGTCCAAGGCATCTCGGTAGCTGAAGTGGCTGGACATGAACTTCGCCAGGAGTTCTGAGTAGTTGTCTTCGGTCCCGAAGCTGGCCCTCAGGCGTTGCCACAGGTGAGCGACGCCGGTGTCGGTGGGGCCGTAGGGCTTGTTCTGGCGGGCGGCGATCCCCCTGAGCTGGCGATGGGCCACCAGCACCTGGAGGCGGTCGTTTAGGTTGCCTACCTCGTTGAAGTAGGCTTCCAACTCGTTGATGAAGGCCTCAGGGTCTTCATCGGGCTCTCCGCCGAAGGTCCGGAAGTTAGGCACGGGGATGCCTGGCTTGGTGGTGGAGGCGGCCGTGGTGGCGGCAGTTTTGGCGGTCATGGCACTGACCGCGGCGGCGATTGATCCCTGCAGGTCGAAACAATACCTGATAACTCGTACCAGTTGTGCGATGTCCTCCGAGAGGGTGGTGGGCTGGTCCGCTGGGGGCGGCGTTGGGTTGGAGGTGGCCCTGGTGGTGAACGGCGCGTGGCTCATCGGTAGTGGGGATGGACCATGTTGTCCCTGCGCTGAGTGGTCGCTCCTCCACCTGGGGCTAGAGCACTAGATGCGTTGCGGGTTGCCTAACTCACTCTTATGCTAAACACACTCACTTACCTTAATAACTACGTATCCTACGGTGTTCGCACTCGAAATCCGGTCTTATCACCTCACTCCGGTAACAGCGCTTGTAAATATTGTAAGTAATTGTAGATAATAGTTTTAAGCTAGAATAGATTTGTAAATAGTTAGGTTACGTTAGCATAGGAACAGAGAGAACCGGAGTTTTTTCCTTGTCTTTTCTCCGGACAATTACCAAACGAAATGTTAACTACTTACTTAAGCACCCACATATTAAAAATTAATTATCTTATCTATTATTATGAATGTCATGCACGCTAAAGTGGATATGTTCTATTTGAGTCGTCTCTTAATGATTGAGTTTTTCCTGAGTTGTGGAAAAACAGTTATGTTGTACCGATATATAAATCTAGTTCGCGGACTTCTATCGAAAATTACAGGGGTGTGTGCAATCAATCAGTGGTTTCAAAAATCTTGAATGATATTGTTTTTAAACAGCTGCAGTGGAAATCTTCTTCAGTCTTATCATTATATCAGCATGGATTTATTAGAAGTAAATCAACGCTTTTGAATTTATTGCAATACTATGCTTTTATCAATGAAACATTTGAAGATAAAGCCCAGGTGTATTCTATATACACTGATTTTGCTAAAGCCTTTGACACACTGTAAAAAAAAATGTAATTTTACCGCACGTAAATGTAATAATTACCCATATTAAATGAGTGCTTTTACCTTAATTTTGGGGTAAAACAAATTTAACTCTTTATTATGTGTAAATTTACTTTTTGTGGAGGTATTTTTTGGTCTTTGTGTATTTATACCCTATTTTTAGGGGTATACTACACTTTCATGCAATTTTGCATCTTATTTGGTGTAAATTTACTACAATGAGTTTTAAAATTACTCAACTCTGGGTAATTGTACCGTACGTTTTGAAGTTATCGCATGCATACGTGACCAAGACTATACTCATTTGGCGCGCTGCAGAAATGCTGTGTCAAAAGTTTGTTACTGGTGAGAAGCAATCATTGTGTGACGGATCATTATTTGCAGGTAAGTCTCCAGTTTATATAAATTTCGATACATTTGCATGAATTGTGCATGCCATTGCTTATTAAGGTATTACTTGCACACTGTAGAGTAAAGAGAGATAGAGCTAGGCCAGCTAGACTGCTTTAATCGCAGTGTGTTTACACTGTATCCTAACTTGCTCTAGCTAAGGTAGTCATAGAGAGGAGCTAGATTTAATCTAGCTAGATCAGTCTATGAGCTGTGTACACTAGAGACCGGTGTACTACAGTGCATAGTAAAGTTGTATTGCAACAAACGCAACGATGGGACTTTTGAACCTCATAATGTAGTACTGTCTATAATACACAATTTTTTTACTTGCCCTGCGTGGTCTCTCATTTGAAAAATTATAAGCATATTTATTTTTGAAATTTCCTGTGTACACTACATAGACTGCCGCTATAAAGCGATCACTCAGGTCTAACGATAAAAAATATACAGTGTGCATAATATACTTATTATGTTGGTAACTGGTAGGAGGCAAATTTCATTACTTCATGCGTTTGGAGATAATGTGTTTCTGTTGGGCTATGTTGCACATGTTGCGTTTAAATGCTACTGTTGTCATTTAATAGATATCAAGTCAATACATTTGCTTATTCCTTTTCACTACCGGGTAACTATTAATGATGGAAGAACGTTGTGGATAATTCTAAAGTATAGTATACCAACTCAATGTATGGAGTATTAATTTCTTACTTGTATCAATTTTTTCATACTCGTTTGAATGCTCTCCATACTCCATTGTGCAACACATCTTTAAAAGTTGCTCTTTAAATAAGAAGTATAGATATCATTTTAAATAATAAAAATTAGTAGTTATTTGACGTTATGGGGAAGGGGACTGCATAAACTGATATTCGAAAAAAAATCACATTTTTTGTGTTATAGGCGGAAATTTGGAGGCTAATAATATTAACCAATTCAGGTGTAGATTCTTGATATAAGGTAAGGAAATTAATGTTTATGTTTTTTCATAACATTCGACTGTTTATAGTTTTTTTTTTTTTTTAAATTGAATCGAACTTCAAATAAACGAATCGCCGATTTCGACAAAATAGACATTCCTTTGTCTAAGAAAAAGCAAATGTTGTCATCAAAAGCAGGATGCAGTTTTTGGGATCCTCCAGTCCCATCAAATGACTCAGATTTAAATTCCTTAGAAACGGCGCAACAGTTATTACAGACCAAGTTACACTCTCAAGTTATTCGATCTCACTTATTCGGCTCAGAGAAGATATTTAAACCAAGAGGATCCACCATCAATAGTCAATATAATGAAACGTTGGCCCATTCTCCTTTGTCAATCGGGTATTTATTGGCATTTTAACAAATTAATGGATAAAGATATTAACGAATTAAGTAAAGCCATGATCAAAAAGGCCGAAAATATTATACAACTTGGGGTAGAGAAAAAGTACATTACAGACATTCCAGAAGCAGAGGATGCAAAACTAATCTGCGTTTTACAAGTTATTTCAAAGTTTTTTACTGAAAGTTTAAATTTGTTGTATGCGCAGATACCTGAGGTAAGTTTGTGAGTATATCAAAAATCAAAATTACAAGTTTTTCTTTTAGAACGACGACACCTACGGAATTTTACCCAAGAATCATAACAGTGCTCCGTGGATTGCTGCAGTGGGAAGCGGTAATCATTATGTTTCCATGGCGTATAGTAGTACATACTATCTAAAATCTAATTTTAGAAACTCAAAGCAATATGAAATACCACGTAATTGTGGAAAACCAAAAAATTAATAATGGAACAGATACACTGACGCATGCCATACAGCAAATGTTCGCAATATATTATAATTTTAATCTCGCTTATCAATCAAAATTAAATATTTAAATCCTAGTAAAATTACATCATGCACAGGTAATAAGTTTACCCTAAAAGGTAGAACGGAGTGGGTAATTTTATCTTGTAAAGTAAATTTACACGCTAGTAGTACTTTCCATTTTACCCTGAAATGTAATTTTACCTTGGAAAGTAAATTTACACCCGAGTGGTACTTTTCATTTTACCCTAAAACGTGATTTTACATTATTTTGTAAAGATACCCGTGGAAGTAAAATTACCCCAAAAATTTTTTTACAGTGCAGGGTCAACCATGATATTTTGATTTCTAAACTGCATCATCTTAGGTTTCGTCACAATACAGTTAGAAGATTATATTCATTTCTATCGGGGAGACAGCAGCAAGTGAAAATCGGAGGTTTCATATCTCAGTGCCGATGTCACATCAGGTGTATTTTTATTGATGATTTACAATTTTGTTGCAATCAATCATTCAATGTATTTGCTTTATGCAGATGGCTTGAAATTATTCAGGCGTATTAATTCTAGAGATGATGCTGTCAAGCTGCAATCTGATCTGGATAATTTGCAAAAATGGTGTCGTAATAACCACTTGTCTTTAAACATCAATAAATGTTGTACTATAACTTTTTGTAAAGCGAGGAACACAATCAAAAATATATATGAAATAGATAAGGTATCACTGAAAATAATTGACGAAATTAAGGATTTGGGCGTGGCATTTCATACAAGACTGACCTTTAAAGGTCATTATTACTCCTTGTTCAAAAAAGCTATTAATATGTGGGGCTTTATATGGCGTCACTGCTATATGTTATCGCCCTCATCATTAAAGACTCTGTATTGTTCGCTTGTGCGTTCGCAGCTTGAATACTGCTCTTCGGTCTGGTTTCCTTATTAGAAAGATCCCAGTGTAGGAGACCTTCAGAAGTGTTCGTCGGCCCGACAGGCACCTTCGTTTTTTTCTCCGTTACAAACTTTTGAGATGTTTCATTATTATTGCTAACTGCAGCTGACTTTTGCTTGTTTGCGTTTTTTAGCTTAGGCGTGATTTTCTTGCTTGCGTTGTTATCTTTTTCCCTATCCATGGTATCAGCCTGACCATGTTTTTTGTTCATTATAATTTTATTCGTTTATTTTATAATTTAATAAATAAGGGAGAAACATTCTCGAGGTTCGTTAGTCTTTTATTTGTCAGGAATGCGATTTGTGGTTCTGAAAAGAACCGATTTGTTTGATTTTCACCAATTCTGAAGTGTCTGCTGCCTCGCCCTCCGCCTCCTCGGTCGGTGAGGTCACTGGGACCTCGGTGGCTTTGGCGACGAGTGACTTGGCCCCTTCTGGTTCTGGCTCTCCTTCAGCCGTTTGGACTTTTTACCCTTTTTCGCTTTTTTACGAGGTTTCACATCGGTGGCGTTCTGGTTAGTAGCTCCGTGAGAAGCTGGTTGCGATCTTTTTTTTGTGCTTACTGTCGTTAATGTTAATAAAACACTCAGTTAACAATAAGCAAGGTTTATTTTACTAGTCGCTTAGTCGCCGAAGCGTACACTAACGAAGCTAGTGAATATGTGATACCGAACGAGAATCTGCTCCCGCTTAAATACAATTTGGCTGGCCACGCCTCACTACCTAAGTCGCTCTACGCGCTTTGATTGGCTGCGGCTAGTTCGTACAAAATAATGTGGAATTTCTATTATTAAATAACACACACTCATCATGCGGAACACCGATGAAGAGAGACCGAGCGTAGCGGATGAGAACCACATCGAGGAGAGCGAGAATCGAACTTTATCAACGACCTAGTTGGGAGGTTTCCACCAGCGACACCGTGATATTTGCGCTTTTTAGCGCGATATCACACAAGCGATCAAGATTTCCAGTCGGTCACGTGTCTCCTAGAGCAGGTGGCCGACGAGAAAAGCCAGAGACGTCCGTGCCACGCCCGCGAGTTCCCAGGCGAAGAGCACCATGGAGGCGAGAGGAGGCGACGGCTTCATCACCGTCGAATTTTTTCAACGCTCCATGAAGGAGCTGGAGGAGCGTTTGCTGCGTTCGGTGCAGGCGATGCTTTCGGGCATAGTCGTGCCACCGGTGCAGCAGAACGCCGTGGAGGTGAAACCTCCTAAAAAAGCAAAAAAGGGCAAAAAGCCCAAACCGGCAGGCAGAAAGTCTGAGCCCACGGGGGCCGAGTCAGCCGTATCTTTAGCCATCGAGGTCCCAGTGACCTCACCGGCCGAGGAGGCGGAGGGCGAGGCGACGGAGTCTCCAGAAATGGAGATGGAAGTCGTCGAGGGCGTACCACCAGCTCGCGACAAACTGCCAGGCCTGCCGTCCGATTCTGAGGACGACGAAACGGGTTTCACCAGAGTCGAGCGACGCAAGTCTCGCAAACGACCGAAGCCCGCGACGTCGGACTCGGAGTCATCAAACGACGGCGACAGCGGGGAGGAAACGCGGCCGAAAGCGAAAGCTGGAGGAAAATCCGCGACACCCCCCGTCAAGTCGGAGAAAATCCCACCGGTGATTCTTCGTACTCATGGGTGCAACAACAGTTGGACTCAAGTCTCGGCTTTGCTTAAAGCCAAGAATATCGCCTATAAACAGGCGAAAACAACACGGGACGGCATCCGAATTCTGCCCATGTCCGCGGATCATTTCCGCGCACTTACGGCGGCGTTCGATGAAGCTAAACTCCCGTACCACTCTTTCGCCCTAAAAAGCGAAAAAGGCCTAAAGGTGGTGCTGAAAGGGATCGATAGAAACATCTCCACCGAAGATGTGAAAATCGATCTCGAAAAACAGGGCTACCATCCCGTGCGGGTAAACCGCATGAGAAAAAGGCAAAAAAATCTGGATATGGTTGTGATCGAGGTTCCCCGAGAGGAAGCCAAGATCTACGCCGTGTCCAGGGTGTGCGGCCTGGTTGTTAAAACCGAGCCACAAAAGCACATCAAATCTTCCGGACAGTGTCACCGCTGTCAGAAGTTCGGTCACACCCAGCGAGGCTGTCGCGCTGCTCCCAGGTGCGTCAGGTGTGCGAATGCACACGACTCGCGGGATTGCCCGGACAAAGGGAAGAAAAAGACGGCGAAATGCGCCAACTGCGGAGGCCCGCACCCGGCCAGCCACCGTGGATGCCCGCTATGGCCCCAACAGGAGACAAACAGCGGCACCGCAAAGGCGGCCACCGGAGCGAGAGCACCTGCAGCCAGCAAAACGCCGCAAACCCCAGCACAAACGGGCAAAAGCTCATCTCCGAAGGGGAAAAGCAAAAGCCCGACAGTGCAGGTCCCAGTAAGCCAGAAGGCCGGGCCCAGACCTTCAGGAGGCGCAGATAGGGGCGGCCCAAGCTCTCCCGGTAAAAAACCCACTCTCGGGGATTTTTCCGCGGCCATGAGCGAGCTGTGGCACGTTTTTCGCGCTGCCAACCCCTCAAACGAGATTACTCGCGCACTCCGCGAGAAAACCGAGAAAATTTCGAGTTTCGTTCTAAACCACTATGGTTGAAAAACGTAAACCTGCGAGTCTCCAGGTGGTCTTCTGGAATGCAGACGGCCTCCGCCCCAAAAGAAACTCTCTCGAGGAGTTCGTGGAGCGAATCAGGGCGGATATTGTGCTCGTTAACGAGACACATTTGAAGCCGACGTACGGTGCGAAATTGCGAAATTTTGTACTGTACCGCAGCGACAGACTGAACGCGCCGCGCGGTGGAACGGCCGTTTACGTCAAAAAAGATATCGAGCACAAGACAATTGAGTTACCGCAATTGGATCAATTGGAGGCGACGGGCATCGCCATACAGACAGCGCACGCTGGCGTGCTGAAACTGTATGCAGTCTATTGCTCTCCGAACAGAGCGCTTCTGGCAAATGAGTTGGAGGAGCTCCTCGATGAAGACGGCCCCATAATTATCGCAGGTGACCTGAACGCCAAGCATCCAGCTTGGAACAGTAGGGTTGCCAACGGTAGGGGTCGCATGCTACTTGACTTTGCACAACAGCGAAATGACCTGGCCGTCGTTGGACCGGAAACGCCCACCCACTACGGGCCGGTGGGGCGGCCGGACGTCCTCGACATAGCCATCCTCAAAGACATTCCCATGAGGACGCAGCTCGAAGTTGCGAACGAGCTCGAGTCGTACCACCTCCCGGTGATCCTTCACCTGGGGGACGGCCTCGACGACGAAGCTCCGGTGACTTTTGACAGAGTCGACTGGAACCTGTTTACAGACCGGTTGACCGCGTCTATAGGGCCGCCACCGAGAATCGAAACTGTAGAGGACATCGACAACGCTATCGAAAACCTCGAGTTGAAAATTCAAAAACAAGGCAACTCGCACGATAAATTTGCAACGCAGAATTGACGCACTTCCGGGCGAAATCCGGGACGCCATCCGTGAGAAAAACCGCGCCAGAAGGAGGTTCCACCGAACTCTGGCGCCGGAAGATCGAGCGGAGGCGAACCGATTAGTAGCTAGGTCGCGTCGGCTGTTGGCGGATTTTCGTGAGAGTAAATGGAACGACAGACTTCAAGAGCTGTCAACGGAGAACCAGTCATTGTGGAGAATGGCGAAAGCGCTCCGTAACCAAAAAACGTCTCTGCCGCCTATTCATGGAGAACGAGGAGTTGTGCATACGGTTCCACAAAAGGCCGAAGCTTTTGCCGATAATCTTGAGCTGCAATGTAGTCCCAACTACATAGATGCGGATCTCGATCACATCGGCGAAATCAATAGGTCAGTGCGAAGGAAACTTCGCGACTCTGACGACGATGAGATTATCAAGCCGACTTCGCCAGCGGAGGTCCGCGCGATAATTAAACGACTAAGAGTCAAAAAAGCACCAGGAGTGGACGGAATTAATAACCGTATGATTAAACACTTGCCTGACCGCGGGGTCATGCATATAGTGGCAATCATAAACGGTATGCTGCGACTTAGACACTTCCCAGCGAGGTGGAAAGTCGCGGACGTCATCTTCATACCGAAAGCTCAATCGGACCTGAGGTTCCCACAAAATCACCGCCCGATC